GCTTGTTCGAGGTCAAAGTTCTTCACTGAAGCTGATTGGCTCCGAAGAAGTAATCACATGACTTGCACATTTAAGTTCTTTGTGATTTGTTGTCTGGACGTTAGATTCGATCACATGCACAGTTATTTCCTATTCTTTAATCCCGCTTATTATTTGTTTCGTCTAATCAATCCAAAATTTGGCGCCACTGCCTTGCAAAGCGCGAGGAGAGGGTCCGGCCCAAGTATAATTTCTGCTCTGTCTAAATTAAATTTTTTCATTTTGGTGTCACCCCCCCCTATGATGGTGGGATAGGTGTCATCCGGTGCGGCCCGCACCCCCCGCACACACCTAGGGAAGCCACTGCACTCGTGTTCCTTCAGAAATTTTCATATGAACAGTTATGATTGGCTGTTGGAAGCTGTGTAGCAATGATTAGTTTATCGAACAATTGCTCTGATTGCTGTTATTTTCGTCCAGTTTTCTCATTGTGTGTACTAGCCATTGGTCTTAGCCTGCAGACTTGTCCTATACTTTATCATACTATTAATTAGTACAGTGCAGACTGCAGACAGGCCAAATGTCAACAAAGCAATGTTAAATCTTGCCGGGGCCTCTAAGGGCAATTCATAAAGCTCAAGGAAAGAAGAGGCAAAGGTTAGAGATTATATTTGCAACATTGCTCAAAGAATCTTAAAGAGGAACTGAACTCTGAAAGTTTTGCCCAGTAAAAAAAAAAAATCAGCCAGCAGGAAAAGGACTCGTCACCAGCATTTCCTGTGGTCTCCTTGCAGCTGATCTTTTCCCCATTACTGACTTCCCACGCCTGGTTCTGCACTGTGGGGAAGATGTACTAAAACCACTCAGAATCTGGTGCAGCTGTGCATGGTAGCCAATCAGCTTCTAACTTCAGCTTGTTCAATTAAGCTTTGACAATAAAACCTGGAAGCTGATTGGTTTCCCTTCAGAAGGGAGCCTGACTTTGCACTCTCCAGCTTTAGGAAATAAACCCGTGTCTCTGTGTGGAGGCAGCCATTAGAGATTTTTTGCATTGTGAACACAAGAGGTCAACCTCTTAGCATTGGTGCCATTCAAAGAATGCTTAGCATTTTCTGAATGAATTCAAAATCATTCTCTGATTGGATAAGGTTTAGCTTCCAATCAGACAAAGCTTTGTATTCATTCAAAAAGAGGAAAACATTCACTGAATGGTACCTGTGCCGTGCGTCTGATCTTCTGTTTTTAGTAAGCAGAAGTGCAAGGGATCTGGCTACAAGTGGAGTAATGGTGATTTCCAGCTTCTGGGGCATCGGCAAGATATGGTATATACAGTACATAGTTATATTGGTCCAAGCTGGTAACTTCTCATAAAATATCCATACCTGAAATTCATCTTTAAACTACAGGCAGTTCAGTTAGATGTCAATCCACAATTAGGAACAATCAGAGGAAACTTACTTGGTAGGAATATACCACGTTTATCCATATAGGAACCCTGGACCCCAGCCCTGCAAGGCATATATTCTTACAATCTACAATACTGTCTACTACCCTTCCTCCCCTGTCTAGTCTCTTCCTATGTATGTGACATGACTACTGGATTTGTCAAGTTGGTCCACCCAATGAACTCCAACAAATACATGGACTGTGCAGCATTGATTTGAAATGGCCAAGCAGCCATTAACAATTATCAATGTAATAAATAACCAAAACCAAATAAACCATACCCAATAAATAACATGACAACTATTGGATTCTAAGAGGGGGTCTTTGGTGTCCACTAGCCTAAGAATTGACTATAATCCAACCATGTCCCCAGTCACGCCCCATGGGCTCAAGATCAGTTCTAATTTGACCGTCCCCAATTTGGTTTTGACCATTCTCATTTGGTCTTTTCAAGGGAATGAGTCCAAGTTGAAAAAAAACACAAAATCAACAGGGGAAGCACCATACCACCAGAAGCTCTGTATTTACAACCATCCCACTAGACCCCCTACCTGTCAAGCTGCCATGACAAATCTTCCTATAATCTGAACTAGTTGCCATAGAAGAAATGAGGGAGGGCATGTGGGACAACTTTTTCTTTTTTGTTCACATTTATTAAATGATCCCCCAGCAATGACCCTGCAGCTTCTCCCAACCGCTTGACCATCAACCTCCAATCAGGTACGGGCTCTTGTACCTACACTGTCCTCACACATTTTAATTGTTTCCTGGAACTATCCTGACCCAGTCATATAGACTGTCTGTCCATTTTATTTCTCGAGGGGATATCTTTTTAGCTGATAAAGTGTGACAACAGCTTCCGTGCCACCAACACTCGTCCCACAACTGATCTTCAACTGGGGATGTGGTCAGACGCAACATGAGATATTGCAATATATTATGGCTGTCATGACCTTGAATATACCCCACCCTAACAAAATTCCTGTCTTCCAAGTAACCAGACAACAGTAGACACTCTTTTGGGGTTGAAAGGCCATAGTAGCCAATTATTAAATAACAGAATAACCAAATTACATCTTTTAGACACCTTTGAAGACCACCGGCAATATCTGCCAAATTTCCACTTTTACAATCAATATACTCTTGATACAGCCAAATAAACATCAATACATTACTGCCTCACTTGAATAGGGAAGGTACACCTATACCTGAGATGGGCCCAACCAATAATTCTCCAAATTTTAAACCATCCAACGTCTTCAAAGATCCTGAGATCCCTGCCATCTGCTACAACAACTCACACGCACAAGCAGGGGCGGCCTGACAACTCATGGGGCCCCCGGGCAATAGGGGACCATGGGGCTCCTGTGTCCTTGCTCACACTCAAACCACACCCAAAAAGCCTATGAAAAAGGTACCAGGGGCATCTCATGGGGCCCCCTTCTGACCCAGGGCCCTTTGGGCAGTGCCTGAGTTCCCAAATGGTCAGTCCGCCCTTGCTCACAAGATAGCACTTGCTACCATCTACCATCAAACATGCAGAAACATGAAATTCAAGTGAGAGAGAAAACAAGTATGAAAAGAAAGAAGATGGCCATGGTGGGGGAAAAGCTTGTCTATCACTGTCCAGCTCCAACTGACCATGAGGCTAAGCCATCCTCATTATCACTCCACTATGACTCCATCCTGCCCTACCCTTGCTTCCTCCAATCAGGTAAGACCCTGTAACATTTGAAAACCAAATCTAATATTTACCCTACTTCCACTCCAGCCTGACCTGCAAACCTAGTCATGTTGGCCTTCCATTTATACCGCGCTTCCCACTCCATGCCTTATTCTTTACAATTACAGTTCTACTTTTCCTCCTAAATTTAAAGCCCAAATTTAAACTTTTCTTTTTCTTTCGATGGGCAGAGCGTAAAAGGATTAAAGTCTCTGCTGGACTGGTATTACTGCCCGAGTTCTCCTGGGAAGAGTTTCCTGACTTCCTGTCCTGATGGCTACACAGGAAGTCAGGATAATTCTCTCCAACAGTGACAGATTTTCACGTCAGGCAGCTGGAAAAGCAATAATTCAGGGCAGTAAACTAGAAGTAATGGCTGCAGAAGTCAATTTAGAACTGCAGAGCTAATAAACACTTCACAATCCACTGAAATATGTATGCTAATTAAACAAACACCTTTAATTAAAACATCTATAAATATTATTTCTAATTAATTGCAGATACAGTTGACATAAGATGTTTGTCTGCCCCTCCAGCTTATTACGTATCCAAATGTTTCTTTATCTTTATTCCTTTTACATAATTCCTTTAAAGGGACCCTGTTCGGTTATAATATCTTTCAATCTAAGTACATAATTATAAAGCTCCCACTGGTTCCCTCTGCTCCAGGTCCAATCCAAAAGAATTCAACTGAACCAATTCAATTATATCTGTGCCCAAGCTATGGACATGAAGGCATTTTCATATTATTAACAAGCAGTAAAAGATCCTAAATACTTAAACATTCCATGCTTGTTATTTTTTTTAATTAAAGTGATATTAAACTCTTATTTTTAAGCTCTTTCAGGGTCTAATTCAATCACTTACTGAGTTTGCAGCTTTTTTATCTTTAAATCTTTGTCTGTGTTCCAGTTTAAGCCGGTGCCATGAACACTGCTACGGGTTTCCAGTTCCAGGGTGCCTCCTTTCTTTTGCAGCTTTCTATGGAGCCACCCTTGTATGCAGGGACTAGAGTTGTGTCTAGCTACACGGTGTGCATCAAGAGAAACACACAGCCCCATAGCCTAGGATAGCAAGGCACTCCCCTGCTCCTCCCTCCTCCTCCCTTCTACAAAAATAACAGACGGACTGGAGACTGCACTGTCCGCTGTTAAAGTGTTACTAATCCCCGGACCCTGTACTCACTATATCTGGTCTCCCAGGACCCTGCATTCACTATATCTGGTCTCCCCGGACCCTGCATTCACTATATCTATTCTCCCAGGACCCTGCATTCACTATATCTGGTCTCCCCCGGACCCTGTACTCACTATATCTGGTCTCCCAGGACCCTGCATTCACTATATCTGGTCTCCCCGGACCCTGCATTCACTATATCTATTCTCCCAGGACCCTGCATTCACTAAATCTGGTCTCCATGGACCCTGCATTCACTATATCTGGTCTCCCAGGACCCTGCATTCACTATATCTGGTCTCCCTGGATCCTGCATTCACTATATCTGGTCTCCCAGGACCTTGCATTCACTATATCTGGTCTCCCCAGACCCTGCATTCACTATATCTGGTCTCCCCGGACCCTGCAATCACTATACCTGGTCTCCCCGGACCCTGCATTCACTATATCTGGTCTCCCCGGACCCTGCATTCACTATATCTGGTCTCCCCGGACCCCGCATTCACTATATCTGGTCTCCTCGGACCCTGCATTCGCTATATATAGTCTCCCCGGACCCTGCATTCACTATATCTGGTCTCCCCAGACCCTGCATTCACTATATCTGGTCTCCCTGGACCCTGCATTCACTATATCTGGTCTCCCAGGACGCTGCATCACTATATCTGGTCTCCCCGGACCCTGCATTCACTATATCTGGTCTCCCCGGACCCTGCATTCACTATATCTGGTTTCCCCGGACCCTACATTCACTATATCTGGTCTCCCCGGACCCTGCATTCCCTATATCTGGTCTCCCCGGACCCTGCATTCACTATATCCGGTCTCCCAGGACCCTGCATTCACTCTATCTGGTCTCCCAGGGCCCTGCATTCACTATATCTGGTCTCCCCGGACCCTGCATTCACTATATCTGGTCTCCCCGGACCCTGCATTCACTATATCTGGTCTCCTCGGACCCTGCATTCGCTATATATAGTCTCCCCGGACCCTGCATTCACTATATCTGGTCTCCCCAGACCCTGCATTCACTATATCTGGTCTCCCCGGACCCTGCATTCACTATATCTGGTCTCCCAGGACGCTGCATCACTATATCTGGTCTCCCCGGACCCTGCATTCACTATATCTGGTCTCCCCGGACCCTGCATTCACTATATCTGGTTTCCCCGGACCCTACATTCACTATATCTGGTCTCCCCGGACCCTGCATTCCCTATATCTGGTCTCCCCGGACCCTGCATTCACTATATCCGGTCTCCCAGGACCCTGCATTCACTCTATCTGGTCTCCCAGGGCCTGCATTCACTATATCTGGTCTCCCTGGACCCTGCATTCACTATATCTGGTCTCCCTGGACCCTGCATTCACTAAATCTGGTCTCCCAGGACCCTGCATTCACTATATCTGGTCTCCCCGGACCCTGCATTCACTATATCTGGTCTCCCCGGACCCTGCATTGACTATATCTAGTCTCTCACAGTACGCAGAACCTGAAAATGCAATGGTTTTAGTAAATATAAACTGCTAAATACTTTTTCTCATCAGCAGTACATAGCAGTCTTGTGACTTCTAACACTGTCCGGCCAAGCATTGGTTAAAGGTTATGAGGTGTTTCCATTCTCCCGATTGTCCTATGAGGCTGCTTAACCCCTGACCCTCTGCCTGGACAGCACCGATTGGCCCTGTGTTGATCACATGCACCCTCCCAAAGAAAAAAAACTCTCTAGCAATATATACCAAACTGAGCATGTGCAGAGTGGCTCCTAGAGCTCTCTGCTATGGCAGATAGATTGGGCACAGTAGAAAAAGGTGAGGATCAGAGAAGACAGGATCAAACAGCCTTTTTTACACAATGCAGAGGATTAACCCCTAAGGTTCCACAGTGAGTATAACAAGCATGCTTTACTGCATATACAGACTGATTGTACTGTTGTGGGTTTAGTAACACTTTAACTCTTTCCTGTTTAGGGAAACAGCACTGGGAGAGCAGGAGTCAGCAGCACTAAACATTGGAAACTGCAAGTGCTGAGGTAAGAATTTTATCAAATAGTTTACTGGGGAATGTTTATTTTATTGTGCTAAATGTTTTAAGCTAAAAAAATTTTATATTTGCATTAGTTTGCTAATCACTGCCACTGACTCCAGGTTGGACAGTGCCACTTCCCTGAACTTCCACAAATTCCTCCACATTGCCTATTGTCAGAGGAGGCTTGTTTTAAAGGTCTTTCACTGCTTGCTAAGAGTATGCATATATTGTTAAAACTGAAGTTTGGGTATACACATTTGTGCTTAGTTACACTTGTCCACCTTGATGAGGAGATGACGTCACAATCTCAACCTTCTCCATTCTCTGGTTAGAAAATATTTTGCATTTATTGAGAAATCGCAAAGCGTTCTCTGAATGGTGCTGATTGAGCACTTTGAAACTTATTGAAATAAGTTATTTATTTCAGGTACTTATATAGCGCCATCAATTTACGCAGCGCTTTACATATATATTATACATTCACATCAGTCCCTAACCCTCAAGGGGTGTACAATCTAAGGTCCCTAACTCACATTCATATATATGGGCAGCACAGTGGCTAAATGGTTAGCACTTCCGCCTGCCAGTCCTAGGGTCGTTGGTTCGAATCTCAACCATGGCACCACCTGCCTGGTGTTTGCATGTTCTCCCTGTGCCTGTGTGGGTTTCCTCCAGGTACTCTGGTTTCCTCCCACACTCCAAAGAAATGCTGGTAGGTTAATTGGATCCAGTCTAAATTGTCCCTAGTATGTGTTCACCTTTCATAACATATATTCAGGGTGTAACATGTTATGAATAGACCAGCCCCTGCTCCACCCACTCCCTCACTTTGACAGCCTCTGGGGGATCTTCTGCTCCTTCTAGGTGTCACAATGTTTAATAAATTCTGTGAATGAGAAACTACTAGTACCGCAGCCTTAGCGACTGTCAGCTTGTAGTTCTCAATGAACTACCACAGTGCTGTGGAGCAGAGGCGCCCCAGTGTGGTAACACTTGGTGACACCCCCTCTGACGATCCCCGCAGAATGGATCGGATCTGCGGATTGATTATAATGGATTGGACTCCAATTCATTATGCTCAATCCGCAGATCCGATTCCATCCTGCGGGGATTGTCGGCTTTCTTTACAACTTACCTTTTCTTGGAGTGGGTCCAGTGTCACCCTGCATAGGTTGCATGCCGACGATCCCTGCAGGATGGATCGGATTGCTTTACAACTTCCCTTTTTGTGGAGCGGGTCCGGTGTCACCCCGTGCGGTTGGTGTCTCCCTGTGCGGACCGCACCCCCCGCACCTGCCTCGGGACGCCATTGCTGTGGAGCACCATGTTATTGCCTTGATTCTTCCTTTCAGTATATCTGCTTGCCTGTAAATCTTGCATGGGCAAGCAGATATGCTGACAGGCCTGCAGGAGACCTGCATGGCACCAGCAATCTGCTGATTGTTGGTGCAATGCTTCACAGGCTCCTGCAGACAAAAATAATAAAAAAAAATTTAGCAAAAGGTGAACTTATCCTTTAATGAAAACAGCAGATTTTAAAGGATTGGACACAAATGGTAAAGTTGATATTAGATGTTATCGACTGGGTCTAGATCTACTTTTACTTTTGTAGATCGGCCAGCATAAAATATAGCCTGGCTTACTTACTGTAATAAAAAAGTGCTTTAAATAATGCTTACAGATGTAAAACTCTCTGGAGTTCAAAGCTTTCAGCTCACAGTAGCTAACTGAAATGTGTGTTTCCTTTTCTCAGCAGGAGGCTAAAACGTACATGGAACATCTAGCACCACATGTGAGGCGAAAAGCTGTAGGAGATATAAATAGTATAGTTTGGGGAGTTTTATTCTTGGACCCAGCTGTATTCCTTTCCAGAAATCTTGAACAAGAATAATCACAGACGCAACTTTTAACTAAAGGTAATTTCTCTTTACTTCCTGTACCAGAGACACCTTGACAGCAAAGGTGGTGGAAGGAGAGGAAGTGAGCTGAAATATTCCAAATGGGCACACAGATGACAAAATAAATATGTTTCTGTTGTCTGTGCTCTGTTAGAACAACCTTTCCACCAATGGAACCCTTAAAAATTCCAGGTCTCAGGGAACCCTTGCTAAAACCAATTCATTGAAGGTCGGTAGGACAAATGTCCCTTACGTTGGTGACCAATGGGAAGAATACCCCTACATTGGTGGTCAGTGGGAAGTATGCCCCTTACATTGGTGGTCAGTGGGAAGAATGCCTCTTACATTGGTGGTCAGTGGGAAGACTGTCCCTTACATAGGTGGCCAGTGGGAAGAATGCTCCATATATTGGTGGTCAGTGGGAAGAATGCCTCTTACATTAGTGATCAGTGGGAAGAATGTCCCTTACATTGGTGGTCAGTGGGAAGTATGCCTCTTACATTGGTGATCAGTGGGAAGAATGCTACTTACATTGGCGGTCAGTGGGAAGAATGCTCCTTACATTGTTGGCCAGTGGGAGAAATGCCCCTTACATTGGTGTTCAGTGAATGGAATGCCCCTTACATTCTTGGCCAGTGGGAAGAATTCCCCCTATATTGGTGGTCAGTGGGAAGAATGTCTCTAACAGTGGTGACCATTGGGAAGAATGCTCCTTACATTGGTGGTCAGTGGGAATAATGCTCCTTACATTGGTGGTCAGTGGGAGGAATGCTCCTTACATTGGTGGTCAGTGGGAAGAATGCTTACAGTGGAGCTCAGAATTCTACCCTTATAGAAAGCTGAAAAGATTATTGGTGTCATGCAGCTGGCTCTACCAAGGGGTATTGCTCCTGGAGCTATGTAGGCACCATCAAATGGTAGGTCAACCACCCACAACTAAAGGAACCCCTAGCAACCTGTGGAGGAACCCTGGGTCGCCATCGTGGCAAAATCATGTCGCACTGACTTCAAGGTAAAATTGCCTCCCATTGACTTCAAGGCAAAACCACTTCCATTGACTTCAATGCAAAAATGCCTCCTATTGACTTCAATGCAAAAACTCCTGTCAATAGCAATTCTATGTGAATATTTATCTCTGCCACTCTACTCTATCACTTGTGAGTCTAGAACGCACTGCTACAAACTCACACAGGACCCTTTTTGTAATGGCACTCAAAACGCAATGTGCATAGATCACATCTGTGCAAACCACCTCAATAGGAACACATAATATCTAGCCTGTTATGCGAACCTGTGAGTTTAAAAATGCATCCAGAATCGCATATATTTGAACCAGGGCAGCTCCATTCACACCTGGGTGCATTGGGCTCACGGCGCAATTGCTGTAATCACAAAACGTAGATTCAGTTGCCATTATTTTCAATGGCACCTAAAATGTGGTACAGTTTTGCTGTGATTGTTTGCCGCACGGAAAAACGCATCGCATGAAGCTTGTTGTACAAAACTAGCCTTGTTCCGGATTCTGACAACCCACTCTACGCTAAAAAAAACTGGTTCATAACTTTTTTAGCTGGCTCCTAGATTCAAAGCAAACTTGTCAAGCCCTGATATATAGATTATATACTGTATATATATATATAGTTAGAATTATGGATATTGTGTTTACAAAAAAAAACTGTGGGGTGGGTTTTTAGGCTTTTTTTGAACCTAACACGTTACCCCAGACGTATGGAGGGTCAGCAAAGCATTTGCAATTGCTGTGCGAAGCGGAAAGATCCTGGAAGTGATTCACATGTATCCAATTTCTCATTAAGTCTTCTCTCCCTTCTGAAAAATCAGTATATTTATTTCACAGGGAAAGAGCACTTCCAAGAAGCATACGTGAAGGAGGTCATGAACTGAAAATGGGACAGTTTTAGGAAATACAACATGACTGATAAGGAAAGTGAATATGAACAGGGCTTATCTGTAAAGGGATGTGTCCATACACGCAGCACATCCACATCATCCAAACACGTCTTAGCCGTGTAGATTCTGGATGTCCTCCTGACTATCCCGTATCATTTATTTATATTAATCGGACAATTTTATGCAGTGCGTTACATATTGTCCCTGCCCTCAAGGAGCTTACAATCTAAGGTCCCTGTTTCATATGTATACATACCCCTACCCTCATGTCTTTGGTTGGGATGCAAACTAAGGACCCCAGTGCTGAAATGTACGAGTGGTGACCA